CCCCCCTGCTTTCCAGAGGAGGCCGGGCACGACTCACGTTTTAACATCCAGCTCTGAAAACAAGTGTGAACGGTGGCGTCAGAGAAGAGGAATCGCACGCTGAGGTCCCGGGACGTCGTTCACTCACTGCTGCCACAAAGAGCGTCGGTGGCAGCGCTCGGTTCAGGTGCTCCGAGGCGAGACATCGAGCAATTAGGCAGCGAGACAGGTCCACAAAGACCAAAGTGATGTCAGCTCAGCGCCGCACAACCCTGAGCTCCAGTCTTCTGGCTCTGACTCCTCCTGTTTCACAGTGAACACAAACATCTGAATGTTGGAGGAGCTTCCACTTCCAGCAGGTTTCACACTGATCAGCTCACGAGGATCTTCTGTCGGCTCCTCCCCCTCCACACGGTTCTGCTCTCGGCCCTTTGAAAGAGATTTTTAATTCCACTGGGACGAACGTGGTTGAATAAATTCTTGAATAATGAGATGAGGTTTGTAAATTGTCTGCTCTTGTGACTGTGTGTTGCTGGATGTGTGTCAGTGCTGCTGACCTGGGTGAACTGCTCCAGCGTTCGCATGGCCACCAGGATCCAGGACATCTTCACCGTGGGGAAGCTCATGGCTCTGGGGCTCATCATTGTGGTCGGCCTGGTCCAGATCTACAACGGTAACTCACAGCCGGCGGCCTCCAGCTTCACCGCTTCCTTAAGTTCACAATCTGAACCGTGTGATTTCTGCTCCAGGGAACTACGAGGCTCTGACGCCTCAGGTGGCCTTCTCCATGGACAGGACGCCATCGGTGGGGCAGATCGCTCTGGCCTTCCTTCAGGCCTCCTTCGCCTTCAGCGGCTGGAACTTCCTCAACTACGTCACAGAGGAGGTGGTTGAACCCAGACGGTAAAACATTGACGCTTCCTTTGCTCAGCCTCCATCTTGACGCTTTTTTTCTGTGTGTGTTGAATATTTTGTCTTCAGCTGGTTCACAGTCACTTTTCTTTTGAGTGACTTCCTGTGAGGTTGTGTGTGATAATATCAATAAAACACTAAAAAACAACACAAGCACTGTAGTTTAACAGTTTCTTTCTATTTTCAAACTTTATTTGGAAGAATTCTGCTTCACGATCAGTCACACTTCTGAACGAGGATTTTAATTATTATATATTTAAGTCTCATGTTCAGTTTGTCTCATCTGCCCTGGTGGCCTGAATGAGTATTACAACAACAAACCTGTTCACAAATGACAAAGACAAAAGTAATTGACTCAATCAACACACACACACACACACACACACACACACACACACACACTACACTGTATTCTGAGCTTATTGTAATTTTTAGATTTTTAGATGAAATCTAAAGTTTCCCTCTTTTTCATTTGTTGTGTTTTCTTCTCTCATGCATGTTTGATTGATTTTCTTTTCTCCGTGTCAACTGTGCATGGTGTGTGTGTGTGTGTGTGTGTGTGTGTGTGTGCATGTGTGTGTGTGTGTGTGGGGGGGGGTCCTCGGTTCAGGAATCTACCTCGTGCCATCTACATTTCCATTCCATTGGTGACCATTGTGTACACGCTCACCAACATCGCCTACTTCTCCTCCATGTCGCCCGAGGAGCTGCTGTCGTCCAATGCCGTGGCCGTAGTGAGTAACGAGGCCGAACCAGAGTCACACTCATTCGTCCCGTTTTCAAGAATCAGTTTCAAGATCAGGAACAAACGACTGAGAAGAAACAGACCGAACACAAACAGTAGAGTTCAGCAGAGTGACTGAGAATAAAGATGGACCACATGACCTCTGCATGGCCCCCTGGTGTCTGGCTGCAGTATAGGTCACTACCCCTGCCCCCTCCATGTTAGCAGATGGGACATGGGCCAAACTAAAAAAATCAAAGTAGACGTTAAGTGTTTGTCTCATTTTCAGCCGTTCTTAAATCTCTGTGTTGTTTTAACGTTCAGACGTTCGGGGAGAAGCTTCTGGGAACGTTCTCCGTCATCATGCCCATCTCCGTCGCCCTGTCCACCTTCGGAGGAATCAACGGTTACCTGTTCACGTCGTCCAGGTGAGCCCCGCCTCCTGCCCCGCCTCCTGCCTCATCATGCTGTCGCTGACACTCCGGTGGCTGCTTCTGTCCACAGGTTGTGTTTCTCCGGGGCCAGAGAGGGTCACCTGCCGAGCCTGCTGGCCATGATCCACTATAAGAACTGTACGCCCATCCCCGCTCTCCTGGTCTGCGTACGTACTGTCTCACCTTCAAATGTTTCCCCCCTGGTTCCTGTGCCCTTAAACAGTTTGTTCCTTTGTTTCCTGTTTTCTCTCTTGTCCGTGTGAAAGTAATTTAAAAACGTGTGGATGAATTTGGGACAGATGTGTTTGCTGTGTTTGCAGTGCTCTGCCACCATTGTTATTCTCTGCATCGGAGAAACACACAACCTGATCAACTACGTCTCCTTCATCAACTACCTGTCGTACGGCGTCACCATCGCAGGTCTGCTGTACTACCGCTGGAAGAAACCCAACCTCTACCGACCCATCAAGGTGCAGACAAGCTGCGTGAGAGGTTACATGTCGTCAAAGTCGCCTGGGCACCAACTAATAAATGTGTGTGTGTGTCTGTGTTTGTGTGTCTGTGTGTGTGTTGTCTCCAGGTGAACCTGCTGGTTCCTGTGTGTTACCTGATGTTCTGGGCGTTGCTGCTGGGATTCAGTCTTTACTCGGAGCCGGTGGTTTGTGGCGTCGGTCTCGTCATCATGTTGACCGGCGTACCCGTCTACTTCCTGGGTGTTCATTGGAAAGAAAAACCAAAGTGTATCTACAACTTCATCGGTGAGTTTCTCAAACACTCGTTCACTGAATTACAAAACATCTGTGTCGCCGCTGGAGTCTGGCTGCAGTGTAGGTCATTAGCCCCACCTCCTCCATGTTAGATGAACCAAACTAAAAACTCAAAGACGTTCAATAGTTTCTGTCACTTTCACTAGATATTTTGGCTTCATGTCTGGAGGAGGTGCAGACACGTGGTTAATCTTTGTTTTCAATCTAAATTCAAAACGTCACAGTTAAAAGACACTAAACGACCCAGACAGCGTCTCCGTCTCCTTCGCAGTATCTGGTCAGTGACTCGTGACTTGTTTCTTCCTGCAGAGACGGCGACGTACGTGGGCCAGAGGTTGTGCTTCGTGGTGTTTCCTCAGATCGACCCCATCGAGAACGCCGACCCCTCAGAATGGACTGACCGCTCATCAGGCAGGAGCAGTTTGTCCTAAAACTCTTTTCTGAATATATGAAGATTTTTCACTGTGCTGAGTCCAGACACCTGCTCTGGGATCTGCCTGTTTGACCTTTCACCGTCTAAGACTCTTTGTTTCCTCCAGTCGAGCGGAAACTCGTCTGCACTTTTTATTTTTTTTACTAAGTCGACAAACACAAAAATCTAATGCCGACAGAGCGACACTGTGAAAATGACTTTTATTCCCATGTTGGAAGCATTTGTTCCTTCTCGTGTAACATGACTGGACTCTGACAGTTACTTCTTCTGAATGTTGCTGGTGTGTTATCGTGCCTTTAGACCTTTTCACACCATGTCCACACAGATCCAGAGTCAGGAATCTGAATACAGTCAGAAAATAGACTTCTGCATTAGGTCTGGTACAAAATATTCATATGGTTGTGAACACCATGATAAGTTTGATCTACACTTCTCCTCTGTGTTTCTGAGGAACTAGAGTTTTCAGGATAATGTTTCTAAAAGTTTCATCATTTTATTTTCATCTATAGCTGCTTTCAGACATGAACCGACATGTTCCTCACATGTTCCTCACATGTTCCTCACATGTTCCTCACATGTTCTGAACAAATGTCTGAGTCAGTGTCTCTGGACGTGTTCTGGATCTTCTCCTGCAGCCTCTAGTAAAACATCTGGAACATGTCAGAGTGAGTCCATGAGAGAAAACATCTGGAACCTTCTCAGAGGTTTCTAACACGTGACGGACGTGAAACTGAAGAACTCAAACGTCTCAGGATGAAGAAGAGGAGCCGTACACAAGGAAGATGAAGACGTCCACTTGGAAAGACGAGGAGGTTCCAGATGTTTTGGTGATGAGGGCCGACGCCGTGTGGACGAGCTGTAAACAACAACACTGATCTTTACACAGCGGAGTTTAGACGTCATGTCCCGCCTCCTGCTGCTCTACAGGCTCCGCCCCTCTGTATTATTCAGTATCTAAAATATCTTATTTGTTTTTATCATTTACCCACAACCGGTTCTTCTCCGCCTCACATGTATGACCCTGTGCGTCATATGACTCCTGGTGGTGATGTCATCAGTGGCTCAGTCCAGGTTTAACACATGTGAACGACGTGTAAATCAAACTGACTCTGAATTAACTCCGACGCAGTATTTCTGGAACAATGTGTGTAAAGTGACTTGGTGTGAAAAGGCCTTCACTGGGGAAAATGTATGTGTAATATTGTTTATTAACTGATTCACTATATTAGACTTTAATATATGTTGCGAGTGCCTTTTGTTGTGTGTTTAGCATTTTGCACTTTGGTCTTCCACACAAGCTCCTGTTTGCTCTCTGTAAAGAAGCCAGGGGGCGCTGTGTGCACTGCCACGAGACCGAGATAAAGTTTATTAACCGTTAACTCAGTAGCTGTGTGTTCACTTCACCTCGGACACTTTAATCTGATTTACTGACGGACTGTGAACAGACGTAGAAACATTCTCACAGGTTTTTACAAAATAAGAGTCTAATGTTATTAAAGAATGTGACTGAGAGAGAACTGGTGCATCGTTCACTTCCTGCCTGAATCTCTCTAATCTCTTTTCTATGACGTCTGACCTTCTGTGATTTAACAGACGTGTCACGTGACACATGTTGTATCTAACTGAGCCTGAACCTTCGTCTTTAAATAATTATTTTAGACTTTTACGCTTGTTCGATGAAATAAAAACAAGGATCTGTTCAAAGCGACAGGTTTGTGTGAGACACTGTTTTTCAAACCATCGCAGTCGATGTTCATGCTCAGATTTTCAGTGTTTGAATGGAGCACAGGTGCATTGTGGATGTTTGTGAACAAGTTAATATCCAAACTTTTTTCAGCACAAAACTTCTCTGGTTTGAAATTGTTCTTTTGGTTCCAGCAGCTGTTGTGAGTCGTTTTTAATAAAATCTGTGTCTCGAAACCTCGAAACTAATGAACTACTCAACACACACACACACACACACACACACA